TTCGTGAATCATTTTGTTGATCAAGTGAATTTCGTTGTGATTGACGAAGTATTAAATCTGTACCAGGTAATGGTTTAGCATGTAATTCAACTTTTTGTGATATACCAAAACGTGCTTTACATTCACCACGTGTTATACGATAAATTCCACGTGAATCTTTACGAAAACCTTTATCACGTGGAAATAAATCGTCTAAATCACCAAATTCTAAGCTAAGAACTTCTTGTGAATCTTTATAAAGTTTAATATGAATTTCACCAATGAAATAAGATTTCATTTCAAATGTTCCATGATATTCATCTTCTTGAACAAGTAACTCAGCTGTTGTTTGAGACATACCAGGAATCTAATCAAAAACATTTTTTCTTTATAAAACTATTAATCAAATTTCATGTACTCAATAAGACAATAGAGTGAAGATCGTAGATATATATTAAGAGAAGCGACTATTTCTTCCCAAATCTAATTTCTATATGTGTGATATAATTTCCATCTTTCAAGATAATGTATGTTTAAAATTTAATATAGTTTTCTGTTTTCTTGTCGGAGTCTATATAGAAAATTGCTTTTTCAATTGATGATAGTAAGTTATGACCTTGATAAGATCGAGGATGAATCGTTATCTTATTGTCAGTCGGATCACTATTATTATTGCTTCTATGTTAACATGAAAGACTTATCGACAACTGAGATTTATTTCGGAAGGAGAGTATATTTAATTGTTCTCTGTGTATATCATGATTGAAATTTATTCTTTCGGACTTTAAAGAAAAAGTTGTATTTCAATATTAATGGTAACAGCTAATCTAAATTAACACTTGAAATGTTTAGATATTTTTTTTTTGAACTAGAATCTTAGGTGAATTTTTTCCAGATACAATGAATGATTCCAAACGATTGATATGACTATTGAAATCTATATATTCACGTGTACGATTTTGCTTAAACCTGTCATTCTGAAATTAAAGTTTTTATATCATCAAATTTAGAACTATTATCAATATCTTTAACGAAATTTAATGCTGTGAATTGAGAATGATTTTATCATCGAGATTCTGATGAGATCCAATCATTGGATAGTTCATCCAGAAGCAAACATATATGAATGCGTGGTTTTACATGTTACAGAAATTACATTTTCAAGGGAAAGGAATCAGATAGGTGACTTCCGATGATTTACATATGATTAATTAGTCTTGAGAAATGATGTGTAATACAGGGATAACTTCTTTTTCTTATATATTGTTTCTGTGTGACATCTACAGGCTTCAAAATGAACATGAACTATATATGTAATAGTATTCATTCTTCTAATTATTTTTTTTAATGAATAAAACATCTTACTTTAATATTTGATTCAACAGACCATGTTAATTCTTCTTCAACTTGTTTATCTTTTGATTGTTCTAATGTATATTGTCTACGAAAACCTGTACTTGCTTCTAATACACATTTTGGTAACGGAACTTCTAATTCAAGTGATACGCATTGTTCTGTTGTATAACCTTCAAATATTGAAAATGAACATGTTGATACAGTACGTCGTTCTGCTTTTAAATTATATTCCTGTTCCCGATTTGTATCGTTCAGAAATGTTGAACGAAATAATATATGATTTTTTGGTGTACCGGGACTATCAATATCTGTATAAACAACTGGATCATGTCTTACTCTATTAAATAAATAAGAACTTTACGAAATCAAGTATTTTCAAAAACAAACTTCAATGATCTCCAATCAATTTCTTTAACAAGTTCTTTCCAATTATATGTTCTACCCCATTTAGCTTTCATCGAATCTTTTTCATTATCTTTATACCATTTATGTGCTGCTAATTCAACTAAATCTTTTAAATTAACAAGACCCATTTTTGCTGATGAAGATGTTGTCTAAATATAAAAATTCAAATCTAATTTTTTCAAAATAATGTCGATAAAAAGCATCGAGATAAAGCAAAGAATTTTTTTCAGCGTAAATGCACAATATGGTTATTATGTTAGATATAATACGCCTTCCAGAAACTAATTTGGCGGATAAATGCATATTCATCGGTTTAAATAGACGGAAAACAAGACTAATTTGATTAATCAATTGTCGTCAATCATATTTCTTGTGCTCTTTTCTTCGAATCATCATCCATGGGTTTGTCAAATATACAATTTATGCAAATATATTTAAGAGAAAACGCAATTATATATAGTTCAAGTTAACAAACATTTGATAAAAACAAAACATTATTCATTGACTTTATCTGAAGTTACACATATGTTGAGTCCATTACTTTGCTATCTTTACTAGAATACGTAATAATACTTGAAAAAAGAATGCGCCAGATGGAGCATACACACTTATGAAGTAAAGTAACTGTCTATTCTTATAAAAAAAAAGCTATTATAAGAATGACTATCTATATCTTATAATGTATATAAACATTTTTTTTTAATTTTATAGTAAAAATCAAGTTTGACATGTGTTGAAAACAGATATTCGACTGAAATTATAGTCAGCTCATCAAATGAAAGTAATATTAATCAAGCATGGCATTGATCTATTCTAGCACGCATATATGTATATAAATTGAATTATAAAATAGAACCGTTGGTTAGTATAAGAGAAAAAAAAGAGGAGGAGCTGAGCTAAATATATTATCTTGCCTACCCTTCGATTCATTGTTGAGCTCTGTATATGTAAATTAAAGGTGATGATTAATAAAGAAAATGTTGTCTTTTTCTTACCTCGTCACCTCGATTGTTAAAATGAACAAGATTATCAATGATACGTGGCATTAATCACGTTGAATCTAAAATAAATGAAGAATTCTATTTTAATTAAAAACGATTAGAATGATCCCCTTATTAGAAAACATGAATTGAGAATGAAAGCCTTTTTTTTCTTCTTCTCTTACTCATTGTATTTTACATTTTAAGTGACTCCATTTATAATTTATAATCAACAATTTTTTTTCTCGAACTTTAACATTTTCATACGAAGTTACTATCAACATATAGAAGCCATAAAATAGATTCATGCATGTTATAACAACGTTTACATTTGATTATTATTCATCGTGTGTTTTTTTAAAGATCTATTACTCATTTTACAAAAAACGAATTTTAACTGAAGATATTATTCATTGAAAAATTTAACTTCTATAGTGAGAAGAAAGCGTTTAAATGTGATTCAAATGATTTAAATTGACATTAAACTATTATATGAGAATATAAACTTACTGAAATAACTTCTGCCGTAGGGAATTATGAATGAGTTATTTTCTTCTTTCTCTATTTGACTAACAATGACGTCAACCTAACTTCTTCTTTAAGTATTTCTCTCGTTAATGATTGGTGCTTGATGAATAATAGGAGAAAAAAGAAAACGAGAAAGTTAGTTGATTAACTAGTCTTTTTTTTGTCTTGTATTCAACAACATCAAGATAATGGAAAACGGCATGATGCGTTTCAATAGAAGTAGAAGACGTGACAAGATGAGTTGCTATATTCACTCTAAATATAATAGTGAACGGCAACACTAAAATAGTTTAGCTCATTAAAAGTCATCATTGAGTATATACTCTTGAAGTTAAACGAAGCCGATTCAAGTTGCCTAGAACTACATGTATATTGCCGCCGTTCCCTGCGGACACTGACTTTGTTTCTCTCCGATTAGTCATTCGTCCATATTGTCATATTGTCTCTTGAGAATTAAACTAGTCTACTAGGAGAAAAAAAAAGACGAAGAAAAAAAAGTGTATTAGATGAAACTAACAAACGTTCTTCTTCTTCTATTTCTCACACGAACACACTTGACTTAAGCGGAAATTGAACTCTTATTCATATAAACGATGAATCAGCAATCAACTATTCATTGATAAAAAAAATCTATAAAGAATAAATTCATCATTTCATCTCACCTAAACATTATTGATAAAATGCCATAATATTATTCGACATACGAATATTAAGTAGTCTGTGTACTTAGTCAATACTTATTATCAATCTTTATTCTTTATATAAAAGCAAAAACAAACATATATAAATATATATATATATAGAGCGAGAGAGATATATACACATGAAAAGAACAGATAAGAAACATGACAAACATATATTATTATCTTTAGTGAAGTTTAAAAAAATTTGGTGCAGAAAAAAGTGTGAGATAACTAAAGATTGTTGTCATAATAGTAAAGACAACTAGACATAAACGATCAATAACCATTGCTGAAAATTTCCAATCTTGTGATACATCATCTTCTTCTTCTTCTTTTCGTATATAATCACCAACAAATTTAAGCTCAGACATTATTAAACGAATATCAGAACGAAAAAAATTCATATCACATGTTAATAATACATTATTAGAATCATGATTAGACGATGGTGTTTGAATATGATTTATCATCGGAAGATATAATTGATTATTAGTTCTTATATATGATTGATCATCGATATTTGTTACATTAGCTAATAATGATTTCGATGAATTTTCTAATAATGGTGTTAATGGTGCTTTCTGATTATTACTCGTATTTGTTTGACCAAAACGTCGATGACGAATAGCTCTCCAACTTAAATCGTGACCTGGACGTTTCATATGTAAAAACCATGCTAAATATTGATTGATATATACATGAATCTAAATATAATTAAAGATTTTATAGAATATTTATCAATACAAAACAAAAATAATAAGAAATCAATACTACATTGATTAGAGTTTGTGTATTTAAGGTTGATTAAATCAATAGAATAAACATTATAGATAACCTTGAAATTCTATCCATATTTTAATTAATCGATAAATGTTCTATGGGAAAATGAATTTCAGAGAATATTCTCTATCGATACAGTTTGCATTGTATTTTTAATTAAAATATTAATAGAAAGTATAATTTCGGTTATGCTCTCTATTTAAAGTTATCTGTATGAATGTACTCGAAATAGTAAATTATCGTTATTCATTTTCTTACCCACATTGGCATTGTATGATTTTTTGCATTTTTATGATGAAGAGCAAGTACAATAACAGTAGCAACAACAGACAATGAACACATACACATAACAGTTGTAAAATATGTTACAATAGTTGGTAGAGCTGTTGAACTAGCTGGTATAATTCCTGAGATTAATAAACTGAACATAACAATTGATAGAAGAATTGTAATTTCTATTAGTCGATGAAAAAAAACAAAACATCACCTCAATAGAAAAGAATTTATCTATCTTACGTAAGGTTAATTTTTCACCACTATCTGGTGGTAGAAGAAATCCAAGTACTGTCATAAAACTAATCAATACACATGGAACTATATTATTAAAGATAAGAAATTAATTTTTCAATTGAAAACTTTTTTACCAACTACATTGACTACATAGTACAAAGTACGTCGACGAATTTGAATGGTAAATAAAACAAATGGATATACTGTTGGACAACATTCATAAACAACAGCTTCTCTTGCGATAACGAAATCTATAAAAAAAATTATATTACGAAATAACACAGTATTTTTCTCTTATACTTTGTAAATCCCATTCACCATTCTTAACATATGCATCAGATTGACCTAAACTATGTTCAGTTGTTAAATTAACATCTGTAATATAACAAAAATACGATAAAAATAAACAAGTTATTCTTCTTTCTACTAACAAGATTCATCAAATGACCATGACCCAAATTTTAGTGTACAATTTTGAATATCCAAAAAAATTTAATAGATAAATAAATTATTATTTCAAATCAAGTTTTCTTTTAACTTACAAATGGAAATGAAGCAATATTAAATGGACAAATAGATTTGAATATTCCCGGTGGAACAAAAAGTATACTACCATTGGATTGTACAACTAAATTTGTTTTTATTGTACCTTCAAAATTATCATCAGCACTTTTTATATAAACAATTTTTTAGTTGTTTTGTCTTTGAATATATAGAACATTTTTACCTGTTATAAAGAATTATATCCGGTGTCCAAACACGTGTACTTGGTAAACGCATTGTTTGAATATTTCCAAAATCTTCGGGTTTCCATTGTAAACTATAATCATGCCATTCCTGATTTATATATATATATATTTAATTAAAACATGCATATATATATAGTTTTTAAAGAAAAATAAAGAACACATACAAGAACTAACCAACCACTACAAACAAGAATTTCATTTTTTTCATCCTATTTATGTATAATAAATATCATTGAAAATAATAAGATAGTCACACTCACAAAATCAATTATTTGTTGAAGAGCTAAATTCATTGTTACTGTTAATGTATGAGAATCATTTTGAACAGGTCTTTCAAGTGGATTATGATGACTTTCTTCAAGTAAATATTTTAATAAACGACGTTGATGTTCACCTCCAACTAGTTTATTATTATTTTATAATATAAAAACTTTCTTTCTTTTATTGTATGCACTTACTTGTTAATTTAAATAAATAAAATAATATCAAAATAGAAATGATTCGATTAGAATACAACATCCATAAAATTTTTCTAAGTAGAATCGATCTTTCTTTTTTTTATCGTTTATCTATCTATCTATGTCTTGTTTATATAGATATTTGAGTGTAGAGAAAAATCCGAAACCAAATGTAACAGCTGCGGTATCCCTTGACGTCAAGAAAAAGAAAAAGAATAGAGTAATAATATGTAATTTCATGCACTCTTTTTTCGATCAACGTTTATGTTGATAGAGACCTGTGATGAATACAGATTGAAATTATGACAATGTTCTAATCGAAAAAACATTTAGTTGAAGCTTAATGATGCCGTTATTTAGACTATGAAAATAGAGAGAACAAATTGCCTTCTTTATGATTATGGCAAGAGAAACAATCACTCTAGTCCGCTATTCGAATAGGATAATCGACCATTGATGGTGTTACCAACTGCAAATGCCATCTGATATGAATAATAGAAAGACAAGGTCAGGACAAAAAGAAAAAATTGGTACCAAGACTAGTTTTATAGTCGATGATCATCTTAATAGAGACATAGATATAAAGCACGAATATATAAAAAGAAAACAATGAACAAAACAAAAAAAAA